ATATATATATAGCTATGGTTACAGTGACAATGGCATTAACACCATATCCCTACATGCATTGCGGCTAAAACATCCAATCAGCGAGCTTAAACCATAGCTGAGGATCTTGGGTAATCAGTTCAGTGGCTGTGTATCGCAATGATGCTCGAAATGTCCCTCATAGGCCTATCTGTTTCCGGTTATTTTTACTTTGAAATTCAGTTCCTGACGGACGCCAAAAAAGCAAGAGATTATGGAATCAAATAAAAAGCGATTGGCTGCACATTTTATTTTGAATGAAGGGAACTAAATGTATGATTAAATGATAACACAGTGAGAAAAATATAATGGAATACTGACAGATAGGAATAGATGAAAAATATGTATTATTGAATAAATATATCACATTAGAAATCATGGAACTCGATCTACCAATCTCCGCAGGTCAATCAATCAATCAATGTTTATTTATATAGCCCAATATCACAAATGTTACATTTGTCTCAGTGGACTTCACAGTTTGTACAGAATATCAGTATGACAATACGACACCCTCTGTCCTTAGACCCTCACATCGTACAAGGAAAAACTTCCGGAGAAAACCCACAGTTTAAAGGGAAAAATAGGAGAAACCTCAGGGAGAGCAACAGAGGAGGGATCCCTCTCCCAGGACGGACAGAAGGGCAATAGATGCCGTGTGTAGAGCCCCTGGAGGTGTCTGTGTGATGCAGGTGTATTCACAGACACCTCCAGGGGCTGTGGTTCTCTGTTGTTTGCTGTGAAACTGGAGCCCTCTCTCCCAGTAGACCCATGTGAAACCAACAACACCAGCTTTGTCTCCAAGCTGCTAGAGCCTCCCCCATCTCTCACTCTCTTCCTCCTCCCTTCCTTCACCCTTCTCTGCCATGAAGTGTTCTGTTAGCGTTCTGTCCAGACTGCAACCTGTTCGGTTTGTGTGCATCTCCAGACTGGACCTTTGTTTAGTAATTGTTTTAAAGATAAGGAGATCAATGGAAGAGTGAGAGGGGTTTGTTACAGAGGGGAGAAGACGCAAAAGAGTGAAAAATGAAAAGGAGGGAGTAAAGAAGCACAACTTCTCATTTC